CATTTTTCTTCAACAGAAATTAAACTCAATTCCATTAAGATTCGAAGCATCATTAGATCTCATTTCTATTACAAATACATCATCAACATGGACTAGTGTTTTCAAATTATAAGAAATTGACAATGTGCCTACTTTGTACTTCCTAAGTTGAGTTTAGAAACATCACTTGAGTCCCTCTGGTGAGGTTGGCCAAAACTTGAGCTTTCTATGGTGGGATGGATAAACATTGAGAAACAGTGCGTCAGACCAGTCCAGTGTCTGCCCTTGGGAAGCTGCATAGGCTTGGCCGTAGCCTTGAAAGTCACCCGACGGCATACGAATTTTGTTCTTTTCTTCTAACGGAAGTTCAAAGAACTTGGCCATAGCATCCTTCATTTCCTGCAACACTTCGGTTGCCAATCCATGATTTACCACCTACAATTAATATATAATATTCTAATATCATAACTTGAAAAAAAGAAATCCAATAATTTAGAAAGTTGGGACTCCGATATCATACAATAAATGTTCTCTTACCAGACTGTCTGACAATATAAAGTGTTTATATTGCGAGACTTTAAATTTGGGTTACAGATAATATGACTACATAGATCTATTTATCTGACCCAAAAAAAAGAAAAATGTCCATTGACTCAAACACTATCACACACAAAGCATCATGAGAAATGCCTGAATTTGTGCGGTCATAATTTGACAAATATAAACATTTCTCCAGCAACATATATAAGTTTGATGAATACTAATATGATAGAAGTTATTTTAGTTCAGATATACACCGCATTTCTTCTACGCGGTCATAAAAAATTATAAAATATTCAGTTTGGAGTACATAACGCTACCAATTAGGATATGATCACCTGAAAGAATCCCCATTCTTCAAGCCTGGTCTAGTTTGTCAAGCTCCTCTTTATGCCCTCTAGAGAGCAGAGAAAGATCAATGATAGGGATCTTCGAAGAAATATCACTCTTTGGCTCGTCTTCTTCATTAATTCCTATTTACAAGGAATTTTTCAGGGACCTGCAAAGGGTCACTCTTGACCAGTTCTTGAACACTTGCCATATTAGGGTTTGAACTCATATGTTTCTTTCTTGTTCTAAATGCTCCAGGTCAATTGGTTGCAGATGGGTTACCTTTAATGGAGGAGGAGAAAGAGAGGAATATAGAAACAAATTTTAATTGGATTGTAACTAATGACACACGTTAAATTGGGAAAGATCTCCAAATGGATGTACAAATTAATTTGAAAACTTTTTTTAATTTAACAATAAATTCATATTTAACATACCTAATCAGTTTATTTAGTAAGAAAATATTGTTATTATTTTATTATTTTATAAATATAATAGCATACATACATTTTTATGTTGAAAAAATAACATACTTATTACTTCTTTTACCAAAAATAATGTACCTAGTATACCTATTATTCAAATAATATACTCAACTTTTATAAACGCATTTTGCATATAATTTACCTAATAATTTACTATTATGCAATAATATAACTTGTATTTTACCTATTATGAATATATGGTAGGTATATTAAAGCCATCACATTTATAAGGGATATAACCGATCCAAATCGAACCGATTTGCAATTTCAATTCAGGTTTCATTTTTTAGAGAAAACCGGTCCAAACCGGACCGTGCCCACGCCTAAAAAACACAGCTTTACACAGGGAGAAAGAGAGAGAGAAATAAAGAATGAGTGAATATAAAAAGAGATTTTCTATTTAAACCCCACACTTCTCTTAGTTCACCCCATGTTCTAAGTTTATCCCAACTTTTAATTTAAATTTTCACAATTTCTAAGAAAACCCCCCTATCTTCCCAAACTCCCCTTAAATACCCCCCAAGCTGAAAAAAAAAAAAAAAAAAATTTCTATTTAAACCCCACAAGCTACCCTCAGAGGAGGAAGTACGTTCTGTGCATGAGAACTTTTGTAATGCCTTCAAGAATGTGTATTAACCTAATACACAATAATAAAGAAATCCTTCATCACTCACATAATGCAATTTCAGAAGAAAGGTAAGTTTGTACTTCTTAATTGGGTTTCAAGAAAATGCTTTTTGGCTGTGGGATAGCTTTACTGCTACGTGTTAGCAAAACTATGCCAACTTCCCTACTTTATATCCTATTTGTATATACATTTTTGTTGGTCAGAATGTGCATGGTATACAATCAGAATGGACTTCCTTTCGTTTGTTAGGTGGACAGCAAACTCATGTTCCATCGACTCTTTGTATGATATAGACCTCATATCAGGCACTGTACCAGTAATTTTGGACAATTCAAAAATGTGGTATCGAGTGGTGGCAACAAGTATGAAGTTGGGAGGTAGAGGAGCTGCCCATGTGGAAGGAGGAAATCGTGTTGATCTTAGGGAGAACAGTAATCTGGCAATACGATGTAGAGAAGTTTGTATTTTTCTAAAACTTAATATAAGAGTAGTGGTGGGGTGTGTGTATAGATGTACTAGGATTAAGTATTAAGTTGGATGACCTTTTTTGTCTTTTTACACAATAATAAAACTTACAGCTTAATGATTTAAATATTGGGGTGAACAAAGAGAAGTGCGGGGTTTAAATAGAAAATCTCAAAACAAAAAGAACAATATATATATGCTATTTCTTATTTTTAATATAACAAGCCCACTCAAAGTCATCATGAAAAACCTTAATTTATTTTTTCTGGCTTTTGAAAATCAAAGCATCTGCTTACTTAACTTCCGATCTTGGCTGTTTCAATGTGCTCCTTCCCCTTAAGTTTCCCCTTAAAGGAACTCCCCAAATAATCTCCATATTTGACCTTCTTGTACCTCCGAGACCCCAATGCCTCCACAATATGATCAAACGGCTCAACTTCCACATCTAGATGTGGCAAAAGAAATGACGCATAAGATATCCTCGCCTTGGTTTCAGTTGTGACAGCTCTATGTTCAATGCTCTTGTACTTCCCATTACTCAAAATCTGCCATAGCCACATAATAAATATCAAGCTTAAAGTATACTATAGTGAGAAACTTTTGGTTGGGTTCGTAACACCGCGATCATAGTATTAATAAATCTATAAATATTATAACATGAACAAGCTAATAATTCCATGCCACGGTGTTACGATCACATTGAGAAAAAAGTACTGTAATTACCTCAATAACATCTCCAACATTGACAACGAGAGCGTTTGGAATTGGCTTCACCGGAACCCATTCTCCTCCTTTTCTAATCTGCAATCCGGTTACGTTGTCTTCTTGCATGAGTATGGTTATGGTGCCTGTGTCCGAGTGTGGACTTAGACCTAGCACGTTATCAGGCATATGGCATGTAGGATAGTAGTTCACGCGCAAAACTTGGACCACTTCTTGATGTAGTTTAAGAAGAGCATCCTTCTCCATCCCCAAAGTTAAAGATAGAGACCTTAGGAGCTCATCTCCAACTCTTTTTACTCCACTTGAATATGCCCCAATAGCATCCCTTCATCAACACAACAGCTTCAATTGCATGCGTGTGTGGGTAATTTTCAACTCTTGAAAGTTAGTAAACATTAATTTCAATGAAATTAAACTCAATTCCATTAAGATTCGAAGCATCATTAGATCTCATTTCTATTACAAATACATCATCAACATGGACTAGTGTTTTCAAATTAGAAGAAATTGACAATGTGCCTACTTTGTATTCCCTAAGTTGAGTTTAGAAACATTACGTGAATCCCTCTGGTGAGGTTGGCCAAAACTTGAGCTTTCTATGGTGGGATGGATAAACATTGAGAAACAGTGCGTCAGACCAGTCCAGTGTCTGCCCTTGGGAAGCTGCATAGGCTTGGCCGTAGCCTTGAAAGTCATCCGACAGCATACGAATTTTGTTCTTTTCTTCTAACGGAAGTTCAAAGAACTTGGCCGTAGCATCCTTCATTTCCTGCAACACTTCGGTTGCCACTCCATGATTTACCACCTACAATTAATATATAATATTATAATACAATAACTTGAAAAATAGAAATCCAATAATTTAGAAAATTGGGACTCCGATATCGTACAATAATGTGTTCTTACCAGACTGTCTGACAATATAAAATGTCTATATTGCGAGACTTTAAATTTGGGTTACGGATAATATGACTACATAGATCTATTTGTTTGATCCCCAGAAAAAAAAATGGCGCAGTTTTTTTTAGGATACAATCACCTGAAAGAATCCCCATTCTTTGCAAGCCTGGTCTAGTTTGTTAAGCTCCTCCTTGTGTCCTCTTGAGAGCAGAGAAAGATCAACAATAGGAATCTCTGAAGAAAGATGACATGTATCCGCAGTATTATTTGACTTGCCTTTTTCTTCATTCCTAATTACGAGGAAATTTTCAGGGATCTGCGAAGGGTCACTCCTCACAAGTTCTTGAACATTTGGTGCAAATGCCATATCAGGGGTTGAACTCATGTTTCTCTCGGTTCTAAAAAAAAAAATTAGTGCTCCAACTAGGGTTTCAGATGAGTTGTCTTCATTGGAGGAGGAGTACGCCTTCTAGTAATGTAGCATTTCTATTGATTTAGGTAGGCTAATTGGTCTTCTATTTTTCATCGCTTGGTAGGTTAGCTATTTGCTACCCACTCTTTGGTTAATTGTTACATAGCCAAAGTCAGTGGACTTGGCTGTGCATTTCCAGTCACTAATCTCATGGACTTTTCTAGATTACACTGTAACCTTCATTCATATTTGTGGCCATGGAAAATCAAACATTGCCTCTTCTACCAAGTTCAATCGACATCTTGGTGAGTATTAGGTAGAAACAGGGGGATTGGGTTGCTTTATTATGCTTTATCACTGTGTTAGTGTTAGGTAAAAATCTTTGAATGATCTTGCCTTTTTCTTACTTTTGTTGGCCATGAAATATATTAAGTCCACAAAGTTCCAAATTTCTTCCAATGATTTCATGATTTTGAGCTGCAATTATCAATGCTAATAGGACCCTTAGATAGAAAAAGTAAAGAAGGAATTTCAGGAATTAAAAGAAGGACATTTTCATTCATAAGAAAACCTCTGTACTCGACTACTGAGTACTTATACAATTCCACTAGCCTAGACATGTGGCTAGCCAGCTGGAAGGAGGATAACGGCCTTCCTAACTTTACGGAAAATGAATCTAAGCTATTACAAGGAAATGGGATAGTATTCTGTGATCTTGAGGGGTGAAGGTCCTATCAAATGCATATGCATGTATAGTTACATAAACGTTTTTAGTGTAGAAAATATAAGAAACTTATAACTCAATTATGATGGAAGGCTTGGTTTTAATTTTTCAATCTTTACCATCTGAATGTGTGCCTTCCCATCGTTTTTCTTCTTAAACGCTTGCCTCAGATAATCTCCAAATCTGACTTTCTTGTACATCCGAACGGACCCTGTCGACTCCACCATGTAATCAAATGGTTCAACTTCCACATCGTCATTTGGCAAAAAAAATGACGCATATGACAATCTCGCCTTACTTTCGGTTGTCACAACTCTGTGTTCAATGCTCTTGTACTTCCCATTACTCCATATCTGTCATCAAAAGAATAAATGTGAAGCTTAGAAAACCTTGTTCTCTTTTGTAGTTTTCTTTTTCTGCCCAATAAAACTTTTTGTAACCTCTTTCTTTACCTCAATAGCATCTCCAACATTCACAACGAGAGCGTTTGGAATTGGTTTCACCGGAACCCATTCTCCTGCTTGTCGAATTTGTAACCCGGTCGCATTGTCTTCTTGCATAAGTATTGTTATTGAGGTTTTGTCCGAGTGAGGACTTAGACCTAGTACTTTATCAGGCATGCAACATTGAGGATAGTAGTTCACCCGCAAAGCTTGGAGCAACTCTTTATGAAGTCCAAGAAGAGTGTCCCTCTCCATCCCCATAATTATAGATAGAGACCTTAGGAGCTCCTCTCCAACTTTTTTAACTTCGCTAGAATACACCTCAATTAACCTCCCTTCACAAATACAACAATTGAAAACATAGACATTAGAATTTAGTTCAGCCTTTCATGCAAGTAAGTGACTATAAACCATGGATCGTGTGTGAATTCCATGTCGGGGAATTAAAGTCTTGCATAATAGTTTAAAGGAACTTGCTCCTCTTCACTTACGCCGAATTGATTTTGGGTTGAATACTCACATTCTAATATATTTCATTAGAGTGAATTAGTATTAACAAATTTGAAGAAACAATACCCTGTTTTTCCCCTGATTTTTAGAAACTTACTTGAATTCCTTTGGTGTGGTTGGCCAAAACTTGAGCATTCTATACCGGGACGGGTAAACAAAGAGACTCAGTGAGTCAGACCAGTCCAGTATTTGCTCTTCTGAGACCACATGGGTATGCCCGTAGCCTTGTATGTCCTCTGGTGCCGTAGCAATCTTATTCTTCTCTTCCAACTCAAGCTCAAAGAACTCAGCCGCAGCATCCTTCATGGCCTGCAACACTTCTGTTGCCACTCCATGATTTACCATCTGCAGAAAAGTTTATTTAACTTAGATATGATATAATATATTTTATATATATGTATATGTATATGTATATGTATGTATTCAATATGATAAATTACCTGAAAAAATCCCCATTCTTTGCAAGCCAGGTCAAGTTTCTTAAGCTCCTCCTTGTGCCCTTTTGAGAGCAGAGAGAAATCAATGATAGGAACCTCAGAAGAAAGATGACTTTGACTCATATGATCTCCACACTTTGGCAAGTCTTCTTCATTCCTAATAAGGTATCTTTCAGGGACCAGCAAAGGGTCACTCCTTACTATTTCTTGAACATTTGGTGCTGGAAGAGATGAGCCATAAGTCCGTGCATCGGGGTTTGAACCCATCTCCGTAAATCTAACTCTTAATTGCTAAACACCCAGGATCTGATAGAACAGATATGCAAGCTCTAAATGGTCTCTGATTAGTTTTTGTTTGTAAGCTAAAGGGATCTTCATCTACCCTGATTTTAATATTTCTACATATTTTGACTTTAGTTAGAAACTTGGATTTCTTTTTTATTATTTATTTTTGGAGGTTTATGTGTTTATGTGTACACATTTCACTGGAAATTGAATATTAATATTCATCTCATGATTTTGAAGGTTTAATTAATGTTCACATGAGTTTGTGCAGCATTAATTGAGGCTAAAAATATGCTTTAATTAATATGATGAACACTTTATTTTTTTGCCTTAGAGACCTCTCTTGGGCTTTTGGAAATTGAAATAGCACTTTTCTTTCAACTCTCAATCTTGGCCATTTGAATGAATTGCTTCCCCTCGATTTTCTTCTCCAAGGGTTGCCTCCGGTAATCTCCATATCTGACTTTCTTGTAAGCCTGAAGAGATCCTGCTGTTGCCTCCACCAGAATGTGATCAAACGGTTCTACTTCCACATCCTCATGTGGAGAAAGACCTGTTACATAAGATAACCTTGCCTTACTGTGGGATGTCACAGCTCTGTGTTCAACGCTCTTGTACATCCCAGTACTCCATGTCTGTCACAAAAATAACTACTAATATGAAGCTTAATAAGAAACTATTATTCTCTTCTACATTTCAATTAACATTATTACTGTTTTCTACTTCAACCAAATTTACTGTACCTAAATAACATCTCCAACATTCACAACGAGAGTGTTTGGAATTGGATTCACAGGCACCCATTCTCTTCCTTGTCGAACCTGTAATCCGGGAATGTTGTCTTCTTGCATGAGTATGGTTATGGTGGTTGGGTCCTTGTGTGGAGTCATACCTAGTACTTTATCAGGCATGGACTAAGGAATGATTGGGCCTTAGGTATGGGCACGTTCTTCCTTGAGATGCCAAATCTGAATCATGGAGAGAGAGATGACAGGTGAGGTCTAGAGCACCGGTTGTTAGGATTATCAGGCATGGACTAAGGAATGATTGGGCCTTAGGTATGGGCACGTTCTTCCTTGAGATGCCAAATCTGAATCATGGAGAGAGAGATGACAGGTGAGGTCTAGAGCACCGGTCTGGTACCAGCCGAAGACCCTCCGATGCCGAAGTAAGTTCTAGAGCTTTGCTATTGACAATGTGCAAGTTTAAAAGTCAAGTTGAAAGTCTTACCTTTGTCTAGGGTTAGGGAGGCCCTATTTATAGAGAGTGTATGGTATGCTCTTAGTACTTAATTTCGATGTGGGACTCGTGGGAGTGCCTTCTGAGATTGACACGAGTCTGCAAATATCTAAGCGGGGTACTTGTGGGAAAGATGGATATGCCGCTATAACAATAATAGGGGCGCACAATAAATGTCTCTATTAGTTTTATTTTCTTTAGGGGCGGTAAACACTGTCCCTCTAAAGTTCAATTATTAGAGGCAAATAAGATTGGCCCCTAATGACTTCTATTATGGGCGGATGTTTGCGCCTGTAATAAAGACCTATAATGTAATCTGCCAACGTGGCAACACAAATAGTAAGGGCGGATCCTTGAGATTTTCTGCCCCTAATAACAATAGAGGCGCGTGTAATAAGGACCCATTCTCTTTCCACCCCTCCTTCATATTAGGGGCGGTTTTGCAAGATATCTGCCTCTACAAGTGCTTTTAGAGGCGAATATTAAATGCCCCAAATATCTTTTTTTTTTGTAGTGACTTTTATAGAAAAATGCAATGTCTCTGATTAGCATGCTCATCATTTTGCCTTAATTAGTATTATATTAATGCAATAATTGGTGCTTCCTTGTGTTTTTAGTTTTGGCACTAAATTAATGCACCAAACAGACCAGCTTGCTTTTGTATTTGTTATTTGATGTTTTGTGACTTTGATGGAAATCATAATTTTTAGACAACGTCAATTGATGCTGTCGTTTCTAGTTTCTCGTTTTCATATTATTAGATTGAGAAGTTTTTGTTTGCTTTGTAAAGTTGTTTAGCTTGGTGTTATAAAAAACGCTTAATTACGTAATTTGTCAAACTCTAGGCTCTTCCATCCTTTATTATATGAGTTTTTCTATTTAAACTCCACACTTTTCTTTGTTACTCCAATACTTAAATCATTAAGCTCTTAAGTTTTATTATTGTGTAAAATGACAAAAAAAGTCATCCAACTTAATACTTGACTCTAGTACACATACCCCACCCACCCAACCCACCCCACCCACTCTTCATATTAAGTTTTAGAAAAACACAAACTCTTCTACACCCTATTGCCAGATTACTCTTCTCTTTCAATCCAAGAAACTTACTACACTCTCATCTCCTCTTCACAAACCCTAAATACGGTATGCAAATAGTGGCTTGTGGGTCGTCAATTGAGGTATGTAATGTGAGATTATTTCTTGGTTTGGGACTCCTCCCAGAATTATTGAGGATATTGTGATCAAAGACTGTTGACGTGAGTCTCCTAATTAATCAATGAGATTTATTTCCTTGATTAATTAAGGGATTTACTTTCCCATTCTATTTAGTTGACGAATCTTTGTATAAGTAAGAGATACTTTCCTAATTCTTTACTGTATCTCATTCCTTGTAAAGCACTCTGTAAACTCATATATATACCTCCTTATGGAGAAGAATAAAGTTAACCTAATACATTCAAACCTATATTCATATTTTAGCATGATATCAGAGCAATCGATCCTCGGTTGTCTCTCAATCTTCATATCAAAGTTCTTCAAACACAAACCCTAAATCCTCATATCAAATTTCTTCAAACACAAACCCTAAATCAAATTCCTCATATTTACAGATTTAGATTCAGATCTTCGTACCCAAATCCTCATATACTCTTATCACAAGACCCTAAACATTTTTTTTTTTGTCTCTTATTCTTAAATCCTTCCGCTGCCATGGATATCGTCTCATCCTCCAAACTTGCCACCACTGGTTCCCCAGGTTATGTTTTGCATAGTTCTTCAAAGACACACACACATGGGTCATTAACACCGGAGCCACTGATCACATGACCTTTGATCCTGGACAAATTTACTCTCATACACCGTCTTCTCAATTGGTGGTGTCTAATGCCAATGGTACCCCCTCCCCCGTAATTGGGAAGGGTTCCCTCTCTCTCTCTCTGACTCCCTCACTTTGGATTCTGTGTTGATTGTTCCATCCTTAGATCATAATCTCTTGTATGTTGCCCAAATTACTACGGCTTTGAATTGTACTGTAACCTTTTGGCCTACTCATTGTGTTTTTCAGGACATTCTCAGCAGCAAGACGATTGGTTGTGGTACTAGGAGGGGCAAACTCTACTATCTGGACTTGGCATCTAACAGTGAAGCTAGCCTCAGTCAAGCTTACAAAATTGGGGGTGCGAGTGTTGAGAAGCACAATTCCGAAGTATGGTTATGGCATCACCCTCTTGGACATGCTTCGTTTGGATACTTACAGAAGCTATTTCCTTCCTTATTTTCCAAGTTAGATATTTCCAATTTTCAATGCGACATCTGTGAACTGGCCAAGAGCCATCGTGTTCCTTTTCCCTTAAGCTCAGCTAAAAGTCTGGTTTCCTTTTCTCTTGTTCATTCTGATGTTTGGGGCCCGGCTAGAATTCCCACTCCAGGGGGTGCTCGATGGTTTGTCACGTTTATCGATGATTGCACACATATGACCTGGGTTTCCCTTCTCCAAACCAAAGGGGAAGTCAGTTCCAAATATCAACAGTTCTATCACATGGTAGAGACTCAATTTCATACTCGAATTCAGATTCTTCGTTCCGATAATGGCGGAGAATTTCTCAACCATGATCTGAATCAGTTCTTTCAAGATCATGGCATCATACATCAACGCTCATGTCCTTACACTCCCCAACAGAATGGTGTGGCTGAACGAAAGAATAGACACTTATTGGAAGTAGTTCGTGCCTCTCTATTTGGTGCCAATATGCCTTGATCCTTTTGGGGGGAAGCCATTCTCTCTGTAGTGTACCTTATTAATCGAATCCCCTCCAGTATCCTCAATTTCCAAACCCCTCTTCAAACACTATACCACCATCTCCAAATACCTCATACCTCAAACCTGGAACCCCGGATTTTTGGCTGTGTGGTCTTTATCCACTTACATGATCACCAACGTAGCAAATTGGATCCCCGCGCTGAAAAGTGTGTTTTCATTGGTTATGCGCCTCATCAGAAAGGTTACCGATGTTATCATTCTCCTAGTCAGAAGGTCTATACTTCGATGGATGTTGTGTTCCGGGAACACGAGATCTATTTTTCAGATGCACAGGAGGGCACTTCTCAAAATTCAGAATTTTTTCCAGATTTGTTCCAGACTCAAAACGATCGGTCGCCGGCCTCTAGTGACCGGTCGCCCGACGCAAACGACCGGTCGCCAGACGCACACGACCGGTCGCCAAAGACTCTGCCTAAAAGTGACCGGTCGCCAATGACTCTGCCTGAAAGCAACCGGTCACCTGCACCCAACGACCGGTCGCCCCCCCC